TGTCATTAAGATAAGTGTGATTTAACAAAACATAAATGAAAAAGAAGCAAAAAGCTCTACACTGTAGAAACTTTAAGGGTTAGTGTGATATTCTTTAGTGTAGCAAAATATAGAGACAGAGATATTGTAGGCTATATTTGACGTGTCTCTAAACCTATACCAAAATGTAATTAAAATACATTTATTTCATACTAAGTAGCCTACATTACAAATCCATTACCATATTTACTGACATATCGCTTGAGACTTAGGCTACTGATATAAATATTATAATTCAACTTTTTTTTGGAGCACAATGCGCATTTATTAATATTAGGCCTAAGCCTAAAATGTGTTTTAATGTCACTATTAGTAATGATATGATCTCTGTATAATATCAGTCTTTAAAATGCAAGATATTTAAAGTGTCCCTAAAGTATACTTGCAATAGTTCTACTTTAGCACAATCAAATACTTAAGTATATCTTTAGCTGAACTTTTTCACTATTTCTAGATAAGTAGCTACTAAGTACAAATTTAGTTCCAATTAGCAGATTTTAAGTAGGCACAATTGCAGGGTATTAGGGTACTAAATGTGTAAATGTATTTGTAGTATACTTGGCACAAAATAAATGTATTTCAAATACATTTTAGTATATTTATTTTGTCACTAGGGTACACAGGAACACACGAGTAGGATCTGCTACCCCAGCCCGGGCAACAACAACTCTGCTAATGCTAACTCTGAGGGGTAAGGCCACTTGTTTTACAAGCACGCCCTCTAATGGTCATTGGTCACACACACTCCCAAATAACATTATTCTGAGTTCAGGGTGCCACTCCACATGTCCATGGACGGTCTCAGACACCGTCCATAAACTCTGGTGTAATTCCACTTGTCTGCTGTACAACAACATTTGAAGGTACAGAACAAGCTGTCTCAGGAGATGGCAACACATCAGCACCTTGCAAGAGAGTGTCCAACAACACAGATGTTTCAGTCTGTTCCTCATCTGGGGTGAGTTTCCCTTAGGCTACAATGACATAACTCCTGCTTCACTATTTTAGTACGATGCAACGTTGAACAACTAGCTAGTCACGACTGTTTCCCAAGACCATATTGTCTCAAATTGATCGTTCGGTTCAACAGTTGGTTAATGATGTCACACAGGTGGTGGAATAATAACTTACACTTTTAATCTGTTTGAGATCGAATTAATGATAACGTTAGATGTTTTGCTATAAATGACATGGCATCTGAGGACTATTTTAATTTGTTCCAGTCATTTTGCTTTATTTCCAGATTCAATCATATTAGACTCGTTCTTACAGCTCGTTCGCACATGCGCACTGTTCAAAAACTGCGCTTTAAATCTCTAAACAAACTAAACTTTGCGATGCTGTTTGAGAATGTTTTTGTTACCATAAAAAAGTTTTTGTTTTTGCTTCTTTAATACCATTTCTGCTTCACTCGCTTGTCCTGCACTTGACGTTTGAAATTTAGGCTAGACATCAGTTTTCTGTCTAATTATCCTCATATTAATAATTACCCCTGTAATATTGTACAATATGTGAAAAATGTGTGTTTTGAACAATCAAGCATATTCTAATACACCCCGAAAACAAAATGAAGACTTCATAAAAGGGCATAATAAGACCCCTTTAACATTTTAATTGTGGTAAGCTTGTAGAATTGAACTAAAACCTTGTGAAAGTTCTGCAGGGTTGCTAATCTCACCATGTTTCTAATCATCATAGTATTAAAACACAAGAGAAATGTTTGTTTTTGACATCCATGAATTAATGCATGTAAACCTTCTTCATCATTTTCCTCAAAACACAAAGCTCAATGATTAGAGCTATACCCCTCAAATACATATTAATAACCCAACTATGACACTACGATTAATACCACGACTGGTTGAAGTTATACAGGCTATCAACTGAGAAAGCAATAAGGAATGACAAAATAACCACAACTGAGGCCTGGTTTCACAGACAGCGCTTAGATTGATATTAGACCGGCTTAGTTCAATTAGGACAACAATTTAAGTAATAATATAATTTAAGTAGCTTTTATAAATGTGCCTTAGACAAAAACATTACTGGTGTTCATTTTTTGATATTTTAAAACAGATCAAACATGCATTTGAGTCCGGGACTAGATTTACTCAAGCCTTGTCTGTGAAACCGGGCCTGAAACTTTATTATGCCACAACAAACAGAAGTTGCTTATATAATTCAAACAAACAAACTCGATGGATTTTGGTTAATTTATTCACAATAGGCCACTGGCAAATCATTAGCTGCCTGTAATCATTAAATTATATCATATGATACAATGTACAAACCATTGAGCATACATAAACAGTTATTTAAAAAAGTACCTTAACTTCATTCGACTCTGAAATGCAATTACGTTACCGAAAACAGTTCTGTGATCCGAGGAGCGCGCACTAATATTTTCAATGGCGCTTTAAAAATGACACTCATTAAATAACAGGACGGTAAACAAGAGCCGGTATAAGGAAGGACATTTACATTTAGTCATTTAGCAGACGCTTTTAGCGACTTTCAAATTAGGACTAAATTAAAGCGAGTCATCGTGAAGAGGCAAAAACAACGCAAGAAGTGCTCAAAATAAAAAGTGCAGGCATTTCACAGATAGCATAAGCCAGACAAGGGAGGATTAAGGGAAAAGGAAAGAGTTTTGCAGACTTTACAGAGACTTTTGCAGAGAAGAAGTACCTTTGAACAGCTATCTTTTGCTTTTAGAGGAACTCATGAGTGGAACAGACTAAAAGTAAAGTTTGAAAAGTATGTAATTTATGTTGGTGCATGACACCAGACTTTGTCCAGACTTTATTCATCTCAAAGGAAAGCATGTTTACACTAGCCGCGTTTCCATTACAGATTTGCGCAAAACTTTTGCGTTTTTTCTAAATATCGATAAAAAACTATTACGATATGACGGCGTTTCCTTTAACCGATGTCATGCGACTTTGGACGTTTAGGTTTAACACATGTGAATAGACGTGCAGCCACCGCACAAGACATTATTATTATTAATGGAAGGAGACGTGGTGTGTTATCCAAGCATTAATGGTAAGGAAAGACCCTACTGTGAACGGCACATGAGGTGTTTTTGTGTGTTTCTCCCTCATTTCTGCTCCAAGGTCTTGATTGTGGCATTTCTTTGAGGTTTAGAATCCAGTATTCCTGCAATTCTTTTTTCTTTTATGAATTTAATAAAGAACTTTGTCTCGTATTCTGTCCAAACGGTCCGTGTACTTTTGCGTCCATTTATTTTTCCTTTTTTAACCCGTAGCCTAATTGAAAAACGAAAAATGAACGGTTGTTGTATTTTTAAAGCGCAAAGTTGAACAACAAATTTTCAATTTGAACTGTAGCCTACTACACACCAATGCTGCGCAAATAAATAAATATAGACGAATTTTCAGATTTTTGTTTATGACTTTTTGCCCCTTTATTAAACATTTAAAATATTCACAAATTAATATGAAAAAATTGTGGATTTTACTGGTTTTCTATAAGGCCAAATTAGAACCCGATGATATTTTTCCCGCAGTGCTGAATAAGAAGAGCCATGTCTCTGGAACCATAGCCTAGGTGATTTATAGGTGATTATAGGCTAATGATAATAAATGTGTCTGAAAAAATAACGAGGCATTTTAATTGTTTATTAATAAACTACAGTGTTAGTGCCGACTGCAAACATATTTTCATCTCCACTGTAAAGCGGATGGGATGCGCCTTTAGAGAGAAATGCACCTTTCATATGGATTACATAATCAGAAGGTATTTGCTTTCGATTTGAATTTGTTTGTTCAAGCTTTAGCCTATAGGCTATATTTTGTTTCAGTTCATTTCTGAGACATGTTCCAGTTCAAGGAGATCATGAAAGCGCGCCTGATTTATTTAGCAAAAGAAGAACGTTTTCTTGTTATTGTGAGTTTACACAAATAAAAGTAGTTACGGATTATGTATTATTATTTTCTGTATGACCATAAATGATAGAGTATTGTAAGTTGTTTCCACTGTTGACAGGAAAATGCAAGTGTTCGCGCCCGCGCTTCCGTCATCCAGTGCGCGCTCCACAAACCCTTGGATATACGTCAAAATCTTGTGTTTATTTGTGATAATCTTAGCCCTATATTATTATTGTCTAACCTGTATTATGAATGACATTTGACGAATTGCTTTGTTCCTTTTTTGGATAAAAGCGCCTTCTAAATATGTAGCCTAATAAATGTAGCCTAATAAATGTAATAGGCTATAATAATAATTATTATTATTTGCGTTTATAACTATAAATGACTTCACTTAAGACAGTAATATATTTATCATAAAATAATTGATGAATGTATTATTTTTATATAACCTTTTACAGTTTTGGAAAATGAGTTTGTTATATTTCTTTTTTTGTATGAGAAGTCTTTTTTTGCTATTCTATTATAGCCTATGGAAAAACGAATGGACGCAATAGCCTACACGGACCCCAAACACACGCGCCTTCTAAGTCAGGTGACTGTAATTGCGCAAAAACTGTTTCCATTGCAGTTTTGCGAAATATTCCTTTTTCGAATTGCCTGAAAAACCACCTCATGCGAGCGTAAAAACTTTTTTGCGATAAATGGGAGTTTTTGCGAAATTGACATGTTTCCATTGAGCGTATTTTTAATTCGCAATTTCAATTTGCGCAATTTGAAGGGTAATGGAAACGCGGCTACTGTCTGAATCATTCCCTATCCCCTATACAGTGCACCATGTGCCTTTCACCATCTAAAAAAAAATAGTAATCGTGTGAACAAATGACTGATTTCAGCCGCAGCTTCAGCGTCTATTTATAATGTAGAGGGCGGAGCTTCAGATTCCAGAGCATTTGATTGGACAGGAAATCTGATGAACAGCTGAAGTGCAGTGATGTCATCAAAATCATTAATGGTTTTTTGGCAGAAGTGAAAGACTGTAAGTTTCGAATACTTATATCTTCTGAATGTGAATTTTGTCATTGTTTTGGACCTCACTAGCTTATAGACAACAGTAAGGCTAACATATTCATACTAAAAGCTCTTTGCCTTTTGATTTCATGGGAACTTTAATAAATGCATTTGAAAATGCATTATTATTTGTCTTCGTAAAGATTATTAAGGGATGCTGAAATGGTTTGATCATTCATTGGTTTCCAGCACTGAAAAGTTCAAACTCCCCACAGCCAATGAGATGTGAAGATCTTCATTTACGGGCGATGTCATAATTGGCCACAAACCAATGACATGTCTCCTTGATAGCTGGAAAAAAAATAAAAGCACTTTTAATGACTGTTCTTTTGACTACTATTGAAAAACATTTAGTTAATGCTGAAGCGAGAAGAGAAGATTTATCACCTGCTTTGAACGGTGTGAACTTGAAGTCTGGCAGGTATTTACACAGTTTGGCGTTACTGGCGGTTTTCTTGAATTGACCGTCTGCTTTACTAGTGTCATACTGAGAGCGGTTAGTTAAGGGTTAAAGGGTATGCTCACACCAAAAGGAAAACTCTGTAATTCAAGGACTACTTTTATGATGCTTTTTGAAGCTCAACAGCTCAAGAACAATCTGTAAAGTCTGCAAACTGCCTTATTTTGTGTCCCACAGATCAAAGAATGCCGTTCTGTAAAAACTGCAGATTTTCTCCATGAGCATTGAGAAGAGTAATTGTGTGTGAAAGGATACAATCACGTCACCTTTGAAACCCATCGCTTCAACCACAGCGTTCGCAGCATCCTTTATGGACAACTCATCCTCCTCTCCGACTAGAGAGAAAAACAAAGATAAAGATAAACAAATCAGATATCTCAGATTCATTTAAATTCAGATTTGGGACATTCTGTGTTAATTCAATTTAATCAGTTCACATTTATTCGCCTTTTTGAAGTTTAATAATCACATAATGCCAAATCACGATTAATGTTTTCCATCCCCAAAATGAAGACATCTAAAAATTATAATTAATAGTTTAGTTAGACTATTTTAGATCTTGTTTAAGAATTTTTTTAATCTTAAAAGGATAGTTCACCCAAAGATGAAAATTCTCCTATTAATGACTCTCCCTCATGTCGTTCCAAACCCGTAAGACTTTCGTTCATCTTCGGAACACAAATGAAGAAATTTTTGATGAAATCTGAGAAATTTCTGTCCCTCTATTGACAGCTACGCAACTACCACTTTGACACTTCAAAAAGTTAATAAAGAGATTGTAAAACTAATCGGTATGAATTGAGCGGTTTAGTAAAAAAATTCTGAAGAGACACGATCGCATTATATGATGAACAGATTGAATTTAGGCTTTTATTCACATATAAACATTAATCAGCGAACATAAACAGAAGCTCAACCGAACCTGCTGTACGAACAAACCTCTTGTTGAATCTCAAACATGATGTGTAACACGAGAATGAACCTCATTGGTTCTTGTTGAATCTCAAACATGATGTGTAACACGAGAATGAACCTCATTGGTTCTTGCTGAAGCTCAAACATGATGCGTAACACGAGAATGAACCTCATTGGTTCTTGCTGAAGCTCAAACATGATGCGTAACACGAGAATGAACCTCATTGGTTCTTGCAGAAGCTCAAACATGATGTGTAACACGAGAATGAACCTCATTGGTTCTTGTTGAATCTCAAACATGATGTGTAACACGAGAATGAACCTCATTGGTTCTTGCAGAAGCTCAAACATGATGTGTAACACGAGAATGAACCTCATTGGTTCTCAGAGAAGCTCAAACCTGATGCGTAACACGAGAATGAACCTCATTGGTTCTTGCTGAAGCTCAAACATGATGTGTAACACAAGAATGAACCTCATTGGTTCTTGCAGAAGCTCAAACATGATGTGTAACACGAGAATGAACCTCATTGGTTCTCAGAGAAGCTCAAGCATGATGTGTAACACGAGAATGAACCTCATTGGTTCTCAGAGAAGCTCAAACATGATGTGTAACACGAGAATGAACCTCATTGGTTCTTGCTGAATCTCAAACATGATGCGTAACACGAGAATGAACCTCATTGGTTCTCAGAGAAGCTCAAACATGATGCGTAACACGAGAATGAACCTCATTGGTTCTTGCTGAATCTCAAACATGATGCGTAACACGAGAGTGAACCTCATTGGTTCTTGCTGAATCTCAAACATGATGCGTACAACGAGAATGAACCTCATTGGTTCTTGCTGAAGCTCAAACATGATGCGTAACACGAGAATGAACCTCATTGGTTCTTGCTGAAGCTCAAACATGATGCGTAACACGAGAATGAACCTCATTGGTTCTTGCTGAAGCTCAAACATGATGCGTAACACGAGAATGAACCTCATTGGTTCTTGCTGAAGCTCAAACATGATGCGTAACACGAGAATGAACCTCATTGATTCTTGCTGAATCTCAAACATGATGCGTAACACGAGAATGAACCTCATTGGTTCTTGCTGAAGCTCAAACATGATGTGTAACACGAGAATGAACCTCATTGGTTCTTGTTGAAGCTCAAACATGATGTGTAACACGAGAATGAACCTCATTGGTTCTTGCTGAATCTCAAACATGATGCGTTACACGAGAATGAACCTCATTGGTTCTTGCTGAAGCTCAAACATGATGCGTAACACGAGAATGAACCTCATTGGTTCTTGCTGAAGCTCAAACATGATGCGTAACACGAGAATGAACCTCATTGGTTCTTGTTGAAGCTCAAAAATGATGTGTAACACGAGAATGAACCTCATTGGTTCTTGTTGAAGCTCAAACATGATGTGTAACACGAGAATGAACCTCATTGGTTCTTGCTGAAGCTCAAACATGATGCGTAACACGAGAATGAACCTCATTGGTTCTTGCTGAAGCTCAAACATGATGCATAACATGAGAATGAACCTCATTGGTTCTTGCTGAAGCTCAAACATGATGCGTAACATGAGAATGAACCTCATTGGTTCTTGTTGAAGCTCAAACATGATGCGTAACATGAGAATGAACCTCATTGGTTCTTGTTGAAGCTCAAACATGATGTGTAACACGAGAATGAACCTCATTGGTTCTTGTTGAAGCTCAAACTGATTGCGTGACACGAGAATGAACCTCATTGGTTCTTGCTGAAGCTCAAACATGATGTGTAACACGAGAATGAACCTCATTGGTTCTTGTTGAAGCTCAAACATGATGCGTAACACGAGAATGAACCTCATTGGTTCTTGCTGAAGCTCAAACATGATGCGTAACACGAGAATGAACCTCATTGGTTCTTGCTGAAGCTCAAACATGATGCGTAACACGAGAATGAACCTCATTGGTTCTTGTTGAAGCTCAAACATGATGCGTAACACGAGAATGAACCTCATTGGTTCTTGCTCAAGCTCAAACATGATGCGTAACACGAGAATGAACCTCATTGGTTCTTGCTGAAGCTCAAACATGATGCGTAACACGAGAATGAACCTCATTGGTTCTTGCTGAAGCTCAAACATGATGCGTAACACGAGAATGAACCTCATTGGTTCTTGCTGAAGCTCAAACATGATGCGTAACACGAGAATGAACCTCATTGGTTCTAGCTGAAGCTCAAACATGATGCGTAACACGAGAATGAACCTCATTGGTTCTTGCTGAAGCTCAAACATGATGCGTAACATGAGAATGAACCTCATTGGTTCTTGTTGAAGCTCAAACATGATGTGTAACACGAGAATGAACCTCATTGGTTCTTGTTGAAGCTCAAACTGATTGCGTGACACGAGAATGAACCTCATTGGTTCTTGCTGAAGCTCAAACATGATGTGTAACACGAGAATGAACCTCATTGGTTCTTGCTGAAGCTCAAACATGATGCGTAACACGAGAATGAACCTCATTGGTTCTTGCTGAAGCTCAAACATGATGCGTAACACGAGAATGAACCTCATTGGTTCTTGCTGAAGCTCAAACATGATGCGTAACACGAGAATGAACCTCATTGGTTCTTGCTGAAGCTCAAACATGATGTGTAACACGAGAATGAACCTCATTGGTTCTTGCTGAAGCTCAAACATGATGCGTAACACGAGAATGAACCTCATTGGTTCTTGCTGAAGCTCAAACATGATGCGTAACACAAGAATGAACCTCATTGGTTCTTGCTGAAGCTCAAACATGATGCGTAACACGAGAATGAACCTCATTGGTTCTTGCTGAAGCTCAAACATGATGCGTAACACGAGAATGAACCTCATTGGTTCTTGCTGAAGCTCAAACATGATGCGTAACACGAGAACATCAGGCTTGAGCTTCCGTTGATGGAAGTTTATATGTGAATAAAAGCCTAAATTCAATCTGTTCATCATATCAAGTGATCGTGTCTCTTCAGAAAATTTTGGAGTCAACCGCTCAATTCATATGGCTACGTTTTACGATCTCTTTATGAACCTTTTGTAGCGTCAAAGTGGTAGTTGCGTAGCTGTCAATAGAGGGACAGAAATCTCTCAGATTTCATCAAAAATTTCTTCATGTGTGTTCCGAAGATGAACGAAAGTCTTACGGGTTTGGAACGACATGAGGGAGAGTCATTAATAGGAGAATTTTCATTCTTGAGTGAACTAACTCACTAAATTTGACACGGGTCGAGTACCTGACAGAATGATGGGCTCCACCTCGTCATAATCCCTCAAAACCCACAGAAACAGACGAGCCAGATCCAGAGAGTAGATGAACTGCCGTAGAGGACGACCTGAACCCCAGACCTGCAGAGGTTTACCTTCCTCTACAAAACACACAAACACACGAAACACGTTTAACATGTGATCAGAACTCTGCTTGAATGGGATTAAAGTTCTCCGTCAATTTCAGGGTTCCCGCTCATTTGCCTCTGGACACAGAAGTATTGCATTGGCATTTGATTGAAATGTAACATCTATGCAAAATAATCCTTGAATCATTTCTAATTTAAGGCCATTCCCGTTTCAAATATGTGATTTTGTGTTTTGTCAACAATAAGCATAAACAATCTGCATAACATTTTGTAGTGTGGATCATTCATTGCAGCATTTAAACTGATTCTCATGTTTAAGAATCTGTTTTCTCCTTGACAAAGAATTTATACCACTGCTACTGTTATTTTCTTTTTTTTACACCTTAAAATGCACATGTGTAGATGAGGAAAATAAACCCACGAACCCCCATAGCAGGATCACTATAGCAAGAACCTCTGTATTTATAAATTCCTGCATACGGCCCTGCTCATGCTGTTCACTTTTCATATAATCAACATAGATAAAATTAAAAAATAACGTTATGTTATTTATTTATAATGGCTAGGTTAAAAACAGATATTATATTATGTATAGTTTGTGATATTAGCTCACTTTTCGGCAAAAGCTCTGTTGCCTTTTATTATTTGAGAAATAAAAACTTGTGTTAAAGTTATGCAAATGGTTAATTATTTGTATGACTACATCACAAAGAGTCAAGTCTTGTAAAAGCATTAGATTGGAAACATTGAAATTTTATAAAAGTGTGTAAATAATAGAAACACAGTTCAAAATGGCCTTTCTTTAAATGCAAATGTTCTTTGAGCATGCTTGTGTCACAGTCATCGTCTGCACTACACTTCCCAGAATCCTTCTTGTCTTCACACCTGCACTCACTCCCTCATTTACCCACACCTGTTCCTCGTTATCATCATCCTTGTCACCTGTGCTCACCTCATCATTGTTAATCAGTCTCATTTAGTTTCCCTCAGTTCCTTCAGTCTTCGTCCGTTGTTAGTCTTAGCGTGTGTTATCCTGCCTGCCTATCTGTACCTGTGAGTTATATTAGTATATCGTGCGAATTGGTGCCTTTTGACTTTGTGTCTTCTTCTACCTGCACCACACCCGTGACAGCTTGTACTACTCACTATACTCCTAATTACAAGAAGAAGACAAAACTGCTCTTAAGCTGGGTGTGTGACAGGCTGTGGAATGGGGTTTGGTCAAAAGATCAAGTGTGTCACACACAGAAAAGTGAAGCCAAAACTTTGTGCGTCAGTCCGAATGGGACGCGAGCAAAAAAAAAAAAAAAAAAAAATCAAATTATACCTTAAAAATACCTATAAAGATGATTTCTGTCATTTTGGGTTCTTCTCATCACAATGGCATATGCTCAAGTGTTTGTTTTTCCAATAAGTTTGGTTTTAGTTTGTTATTTAATGCTATAAAAACGGGTAATGTCATGATTGGCAGCTGTGCTTGTGCTTGTGGAAATGGGAGTATCGGGCGGGACCGTCCCGATACCACGGCTCCACCTCAGGATCAATGTTGCTCAGATTTAGGCTTCAAATGATATAACAGTGCACAATGTCAACCGCCATTTCTGGGATATTTTGGCTTCATTTTTCTATGCTCTGGGTCCTTGCAGAAAGTTAAACGCGTCTCACTCTTTGCAAGATATGTCTTGTGGATCAATCCTGGAAGCACGTGACCGTCCTCAATGTTGAAGTTGTCATGGGGTCCAAACACATTGGTGGGGATGACGGCTGTGTATCTCCGACCGTACTTCTCAAAACATGACCTAATGGACAAACACACAATGATTTGTTTCTTTCATTTATGAAAGCTATAAACAACCATTTCGACCCCAGATCAAATAACGATACATTTATTTTGACATTATTTTCATGACAATCACACATTCCCATCACTGTCATAAAAATAATAATTCATTATATACATAGAAAAAACTTTTTTTCAAAATGTGACAGACATGCTTTCATGTGATACACCCAAGAAAAGCTCATGACCAATGAACTTTGACACTGACCTGTTGTGGACATCAATCATGCGTTTGGCGTAGGCATAACCGAAATTAGACTCATGTGGCGGACCGTTGTGGATCTGAAACAGAGCGAAAGAGAAACACGTCTGTATAGATGACAAAAATATAGACGATACCAAACAAAAAGTGTCTAATCATCATCTCCCTCAAATCATAACACAATAGGAGTGGATGATCTTGTAGAACATAAACTTGGGAGCCCTGCAATTCTGCAAATGGAGCAGCGCGTTCTTGAAAGCGTCACTCAGCTCGCTCTGCTACTCCGGTTATCTCTGTATGTACATTTTAGGCAACAATAAAACGAAATATGTTATAAAACACCACTCCGCCTCTTTTCGTTTTCATTTAAAGAAATCTTAAACATTATAGCCACACAAATGTGGTTCAGGCAACGCATATAGATTATATTCACTGCATGTATAGCCTATTTATAACAAAACGAAATATAAAACACAACCCTGCCTCTTTTCGTTTAAATTTTAAAAATATTAAACATATTAATATGGTCCAGGCAATATGTGCATTTGTACTTCTTAATCTTCCCTGTAATAAAATTAAACATGACAAGACTCAACCCTGTCTCTTTTTGTTAAATTTAAATTTTTATCAATAATAGCCATTATAATAGTATAAGTAAGGGTTACTAGAAGCTAAACAATAAGTCAGCGCTCTAGTCTAATGTTACAACGGTAAAGTTAAATAGCCTAAATATAGAAAGTTATGAAACTTCACTTAGCCCTTAGCCAAAACGATTGGCCAGGGAACAAATTATAGATTTACGAGACCAAAGATCGCCCGTTAGTTCTACACAAGACGAATTATATCTTATGTTTAACCACTACAGAGACGTCAGAGTCAGCGGCAAACGTCAGAACGGCTAGCCGAGGAAAGGCTGTTCTAGGCGGGGTACATGAGCGCCGAGCGCCCTGTGATCGCCTGGAATGGATCTCACAACCTGGATCAAATTTTCATAAATCTTTATAAATAAACCACAGATTTGAGCTTTAAACAACTATATTCTCGCCCAAAAAACTCTTAAAACAACATTTTGTGACACAATAACAGTAGTATTATATTTCAACTGTAAATTAAAAAATGGCGCTTCTTATTCCCCTTGTAGCACGTGCAAGTGACGATTCTCTGTCAACCAATCAAAGTTATGCAGTGAGTCTAGCTCCACCCTTTAGGTACCGTACCACTGTGCTAGGTACCACAACGGAAGGGTACCGAAAAAGTGGTACGCTTCGGCATTTTGGTACCATTCACAACTTTTGACAGTTGAAACGGAAATAATTGCGTACAGTACTGTACTGTACCTTACCGTACCGCTCGGTGGAAACGAGTCATTAGTACCTCAAAGGTACATGTTGGTACATAATAATTACATATTAGAACCTTTTTAGAAGGGACCTATTATGGCCCTTTTCACAAGACTAATATAAGTCTCTGGTGTCCCCAGAATGTGTCTGTAAAATTTCAGCTCAAAATACTGATAATAGATGATTATAGCTTGTCCAAATTGTCCCCATTTGGGTGAGAGCAAAAACACGCCGTTTTCGTGTGTCTCTTTAAATTCAAATTACCTGCTGCTCTCCGCCCACTTTCCAGAAGAGGGAGTGGCCTAAACAGCTCGTGCCGATCCTACGGCAATAACAAATCAGGAGAAGCAATATTACTGACAATGTAAATACATGTGTTCAGAGTTGGACACTGATAAAGGAGAGACTCCGGCAGTAGCAACAACTTTGAGAATAATAGTTGTGTAATAACACTATGCAGCTCTGGTGAGTCTGTCTGGCAGCCAACATCCCAAACAACTAGGGGTGTAACGATTCATTCGTTTTCTCGATGCATCGATTACAAATCCTGACGATGCATATGCATCGATCTTGAAACATGTATTTCGAATCGTGAATCGTTTATTTCGGTCAATATTCGATTTAAAATGCTAAGAATCGAATAATTTGCGATTCTATATCGATTCAGTGCTTTAAAACATATAAACATTAAATGACTACATGCGCGAATTAATGAGGCGTTGTGCGGCGTCATTTCGCGTCCTCACAGCTCTCACATACTCGCTGCACTCTTACCATCTTTCACTGGATTTCGCTCGCGCTCCGTCCCATAGCTCTCATCTACAGATTTTTGAGCAGTCCATGTTTGAGCTCTCCTCAGGACAGCCACTGGTGTTCACATGAGCAGATAACAGCTCTCTATCGAGAAAGCAAGCCATTGATAAAGCTGCCATATCATTGCGCGGTCACTGCTATGAAACAACGTGTTCGTTGCGTGGAAACGTCACCGTTATTTTCTTTAAGATAAGATACTGAAGTTTTACGGAAATGGGTCATACCCGTCCTGAGCAGTTAAAGTAAAACCCCACTTATTCAAGGGTGCGCATTTATTACATGGAAAGAGAAAACGTATAATAGGTGTCTAAAATGTCTAAAATGCACACGCTTCCGATTAATCATGAATGATGAATAAAATGTAACTTAATGTCGTTAAACTGAACTGATGAAATAACTACAACATTAATTACACTGAAATAAGAGCGCGTGGTTTATCCATCAATCAGATGCGCATTAAAGTTGCATTCGTAATCGTTAATAGCACAAGTAGCCTAGACAGCCGGCGCGTTTTCTTTCAGAATCACAAGGAAAATGTTCAGTCGGATAAAGAGAACAGTAGCTATTCCATGAGGAAACGTTAGTTAGGCTAAGGTTTAGTTGGGAAAGTTCATGGTATTTTTAGTCTCACAATGAAGGATGTTTAATGTACCAAGAACACTTTAAGGTTGTGTATCCATTCCTACAAAATAGTTAGCATGATGAACTATACTTTTAAAGCCTTTTTAAATCTTGGTTTACATTTTTACAAATGCTAATTTATAGGCTTTGGAAATATTTTTTTATAATAATAGATTATTATTATAAAAGGTATCCAATATGTTACAATTGGAAAACTTTCCCTCCTTTCTTAAAAGGGGGAGGTGTTCTGTAATGGGAACTATGTTTAAGGGAACTGTTGTAGTACGGGAACATGTGTGGGAACACAGGTTATTATGTGACTTCCTGAGTAAAGAGTTATTCTGAGTATCACGAACATTCCTGGTTTGTTATTGTGAAGATAACACAACACCGGTGACCAGTGAAAGTGCAGTTCTGACTCTCTGCCCATTCATTTAGATAGGAGCCTGGTCTTGTTAGTCCGAAATAGCTGCCCGGAGGCGTTGCCAAGATGGCGGCCGAGTGGCATGACTTGCCTAAAAGGACTTTGGCTAAACCTAACCATGCTTTGTATTGACCCTTGTTTACCAAGCAGTCTGGTGTAAAATGATAAGCGCAGACATGAACGATTTTAGGTAACTTGAGGGGCACATTCCCATCATAAACAAATTTAATCCACTGCATCTCCAGTGGCTCAGTTGCCGGGAGTAAATGCTCAATCTTACATCCAACAACAACACACCTGGCTTTCTTAATAGGAATTTGAGACATTTTTCTTATCACTGCAGCTGCTCCAGCGTGGAATCGGCGGATAGTGTACAGCCCACTGTGGGCGGGTCTATGCTAATAGGGCAGAGTCTGTCAGCAGTCGTGGGCGGGGCCTAGACATTTTGTGACGTCACAAAAGGTAGGATCTGCAAATGGCTTGTTTTTAGACACTGCTTATGATTTATGAGGATTAAAGGAGATGGTGGATTTTTACCATTATAGGGTGGTTGTGTACACACTGCTGACACACATTTATGTCTAAATAGGTCCCCTTTAAAGGGTACCGTCGCAGTGACCGCTTTTGTAACGTTTATTCAAAGAGTGTGTGTGTGTGTGTGTGTGTGTGAGTGAGAGAGTGAGAGAGAGAGAGAGAGTTTACCATGGTCTCATCTATTGGGTAGGTGGTTTTATCTGGGAAAATACACGTGGACAGGCAAGAAACGACCTTCACCACCCCGAACTCATGAGCTGTCTGCAGCACGTTGTCATTGACAAATACATTATTCCTCTGAAAACAACAAACAAATACAGTCAATGTGCAGTCCAGTCATTCAACAGTGATATTTTTTTCAAGCTCTTATTACATATTTCCAATGTTATTTAATAATAATTGTTAATAATTACCCAGAAGTCCAGGTTCTGTCTCATGTTTTTGTAAAGCCCACCCACCATGGCGGCCAAATGAATGACGTGTGTCGGACGATGTTTCTGGAAGACTGATCTCGTCTCTTCAGGGCTCCTGAAACAGCACATGTAAAAACAGTTATCATGCAATACAAATAGACTATGAGAAATCAAATAAAAGCTTTCTAAAATCCAGAGAAACATTTATGGGAAACCAGTATGGGGATTTTTCTATTTCTTGAATACCACAATATATAAATAACCACGGGCGCGGCTAACTCAAGTTTCATGTGTAGGGTTGTGTGATATGACGATATGAAGTGTGTATCGATAAATATTATGCTAGATTGTTAATATAGCTATCCGCGCAGTGCAAGACTGCTTAAAATTTGTACACGTAAAGAGTAATTATGAATGTAATAGACAAAAGAGAAAGTAAAGCACGGTTGTTAACGAGTTCTGGGTGTGCTCTGATACCAATCTTTCATTTGAAAGTCACATTTCTAGCATCTGTAAAACAGCATTTTTCCATCTTAAAAATATATCTAAATTATGACATAAGCTCTCAAAGACAATTGCAGAAAAGTTAGTTCATGAGCTCAAGGCTAGAATGTTGGATTATTGGGTGGTTGCCCTGCACGCTTAATAAACAAACTCCAGCTGGTCCAAAACGCAGCAGCTCGAGTTCTTACCAGAACCAGGAAGTATGACCATATTAGCCCGGTTCTATCAACACTGCATTTAGGGATGGGACGGTATGAAAATTTCATATCACGATTACAGTGTCCAAAATTATCGTGATTATCAATATTATCACGGTTTTGTTAAAATGAGATGAAAGTGTTCAAAAAGAACTGATGCTCACACTGAAAACATTTCAACAAGTTTTATATTTGAAAATCAACAAACAACAAATAAATTAGCAGCTCTATGCAGATTTTTAAGCAAGATTCTAGTCTGTGCCATTTCCTTCTTTATAATGACCGTCGTCAATAGCAACGCATTATTACACACCGCGCACATCCATGAATCACTACGGACGCGCGCTCTTGTTTCATTCAAATACAACTTGCCGTCTTGCGTCTACCGTTTTTGATTGTATTAAAAATGAAATCAGAGTTGATTTATTGTTTACAGAGTTTAATAATATTGTTGTGATCATATTGTCTGGACGATTGTTTTGTACGCTGTACAAAATGGATTTATAAACAGGTAACGTTAAGATTTAACACATTAATCTCAATTCAATATGTCCCCGTAATTATGTGGTAAAAAAAAAATTCGGTGTAATAAGTGTACAATGAATCTATACATTAATATCCCTTAAAATGTCACTCTTAATAATAGTCTGGTTTGAAGTTGTTCGTTCGTCTTTGGCTCAAAGCCACTTGCTGCGAACTTTTCTTCGCGGAAGCTTCACGTCTATTTCAAGTGAGATAAAATATTTCAACTCAAAACAACATTTTGTGCCCAATTATTTCACAGACGTAGTATTGGTATTGAGGTCAAAGTTAACTTGCCTTGCGTTCGCTATACAACACTGGATGATGGCCACACAAGACGACTCGGAAGATTTTAAGTGTTTCTATTGCAGCGACTTTTTGTTCGGCAGGCAGGATTACCATCCTCGATTAAGTTTCCCTCAGGACTTTTGTAAAAGCCAAAATATGACCACACCTCAGATTTGGTCCTCTTAAAAGGCTGGAAAATCACCCGATCACGGTCACTGCTCCTTCTCGAATAATAAAAAAAAATTATTGTGCGCTGCGCCTGCGTCAGACTGTTGCTGGCTGGACAGGATTTACAGTGAGTTAATAAAATCGCGATAATCAAACACGGTTTTAATGATAATTAAATTTTAAACGATAATACTAACCGTCAGTACATTTTATCGTGGTTTATCGTTAAACCGGTAATCGTCCCATCCCTTTAGGCTCACTATTAAACATCTTACACATTTTAAAATCTTGCTTATTACTTACAAAGCACTAAATGGTTTAGCTCCCCAGTACTTGAGCGAGCTCTTAACGCATTATAGTCCTTCACGTCTATTGCGATCTCAAAATTCTGGCCAGTTGATAATAATACCTAGAATATCAAAATCAACTGCTTGCAGTAGATCCTTTTTCTATTTAGCACCAAAACTCTGGAACAGTCTTCCTAACATTGTTCGGGAAGCAGACACACTCTGTCAATTTAAATCTAGACTAAACACATCTTTTTAACCTGGCTTACACATAACACATTATCAATTTCTATTACTCAAATCAGTTAAATGATTGTTAGACTGCATAAATCAGGTCAACGGGAACTAGGAACACTTACTACAACACCCGATGTACTTGTTACATCGTAAGAAGAATGGCATCTACGCTAATATTAGTCTCCCTGTTTATCCTGAGGTTTTCCTTAGTCATCCATATCCGGGCTGTATCCAGATCAGATGGTGGACCTGTGCCTAGACACGACCACAACGCGGTCCTGAATTTCAGCAGAGACCGTGTCAACTAGACTCTCCCCTTTGAAGATCTCGTCGACATGACAGCCATCGGCACAGATCCTCAACAAAGACCACAAGAACCAAACAAGTCCTCTTTATAGGCCTATGACCAACTTCGTCTCCATACTGGCGTGATCAATCCGATCTTCAAGCAAAAGGAACTGGATTAAATATTTGAATGCTCCCGGTCCACAATCTGACTTCTGACCTGTAATGCTGCCTGAATCATAATCATACTCTGTTCGTTCGTTGGTCAGAGGAGATCTTGGCCCCCCAACTGAGAAAGTATGTCCTAATCAGAGCCCTGCCCGACCAATTTATCGGTCTGCTGATTTTATCGGCCGATATGAGCCTGTCGCAGATATATCGGTATCAGCGTATATGCCGCCAATATATATATATATTTTTTTACAGAACATATAATGCTTGTAAATTGTGTAACTACGTAGTTTGTCCAGCAGAGCACGCTCCATTGTTAGCTAATGGCGACCCATGTCACTGTAGTCACTTCAGTAACAGGTCTTTACTTCAGACACGGTGTAAGATGCGCACACATTAGCTTCCACTCCACTGACAAGGTATGAAACATGGCTAGCTAGCTAATGTAGCAAACGAGTATGATAAGCTCGTAGTAAGAGTAGACGGGGACATTGTTTATTTACTTTATAGCATTGCGTCTCACCAGGTGACAACGTTGCGTTAAACCACCATTCAACAGACTCGTGCTACCACCCAGGGCCGTATTAAGACAGTGTGGTGCCCCTGGGCACTATTCCTCAAAAAGCCCCCTATATTCAAATATCTCAATTTAAAATGTACATCAATTAATTGACAGCGTCAATTAACGTTTGCCCAAAAAATAATAATAAATCTATCAGGTTTCTTACCTTTACAGGCATGAAAACGGGTCAGGGGTGAAAAAGGTGAGAAGGTTATTACCCCTCTAGGGGGGTCCGGGGGCATGCCCCCCCCCGTAAGAAAATGTAAAATATTCCATATTTTAAAGCATTTTGAGGTGCATTTTTTGCCAACCTGGGGAGAGTTGGAGAGACTTAACTTCAGCCATGAGTCAAAAATATTATGGTCTCCGTAGCGTTAGCTAATAATTTTCCACCAGACCTTTAGCTAGCTGGCTAATGTTGCGTTCTCTCCTGCTGTGTTCAACTCAATTCATCAAGCTGTAGCTAACGTTAGCTAAGCCTATGTCAACAGAGCTCCTGGGTAACTTAGATATAGCCTACCAGAAAATATTAGGGATGTCCCGAGACCATTTTTTCTGAACCGATCCGATACCAAAAATTCTGAGTATTGACCGATACCATCCGATACCAGCGCAGTTTTTTTTTTTTAAATCAAGTAGAATTTCTATAACTATGTGTGTTGAACTGATAATCACTATTTTGTGTTAAACACAATCTACTTAATACAGACAACTTCATTATAAAGAAAAACAACAAATCAAAAAAATGATCATATAACCTATGACAAAAATTAAATTCTATTATAAACTAGATTAGTGGGTAACTCAGCAGTAATATTTAGTCTAGAAAAATCACAAGTGCACAATAATTGTATAAAATCTGAACATTTAGTGAAAAAAAAAAACCTTATTTAGTGGGGAACAAATAAGAGACAATAAGTGTAGCACTAAATCTGGTAAAACGTTTTCATGTATTAAGTTTAGCAGAACTGCTTCTTCCTTGATTTTTGCGCAAGCAAAGGTGTCAACTACATCCCCGAAGTCCATTTCTTTGTTCCAGTCTCCACAGTTCGCTCCGGCTTCGTCAGACTCAGCGGTGCTAGTGATCGCAATTCCTGTGATGTTCTCACAAAAAAAACTTTCGATCCCTGGAACATTTTGAATTGTAGCTAAACGTCTAGCGTCCTTGTCTTTCTTTAACTTTCTTTTTGCAAAACCACTCAATTGACGTCAGTCCATTTTTTATTTAGATTCATTTTCTGTAGCCGTTAAAAAAATGACACATTTGCGCATACTTGTTGTGGACCAACTCAACTCTGACAGATTCGGGAGGGGGAACTGATAATGGTCATGTAATCTTTATTTATTTATAATTTATTATTATTATTATTATTATTATTATTATTGTTAAATTAGTGTTCATAAACGAGTTATGTATGGTCTTTCAAGAATTAATAATATAACAATTTACGAAAAATATTATTAAAGCTTGTGTCATGTGGTGCCCCCCTAGTGGTTGTGAATGGTTGGTGCCCCTGGGCACTGGCCCAAGTGCCCTTATGGATAATCCGGCTCTGCTACCACCGCACTGGTACTAGTAAGCAACTTACCGTTAAGAAACCGCTTGTCTGCTGCTGCCTGAACAAGACACCGGACACGAGCGGCGTGATGCAACAAAAGACAGTTGAACCCATTATAATCAGTGATTTTGTCTACACTGGATGCGGCGCAACGCGAGCGACAAAACTCCGACAGTAAACTAATGCCTCGTTCTGCTTTGTAACGGGCGCTTTTTGTAAGGGGCGCATAAAGAGTAGCCTATTTTCACATTTAGTACATTTTGCTTACTACTTATTTAAAATAGTATAAAAGTACTGTTCATATTCAATTAAACACGTTTTCATTATGGTATTATTACTTTTACTTTAGTAAAAAGATCTGAGTTCTTCCTCCACTGGTAGTGTCACGATTAGCCACGCACTCCCTGGGTGATTACGGACTCCATTTCCCATCATGTATCTCCCTGGACTGATTACACACACACCTGCACCTCATGTTCAAACACTCATTTAAGCCACACTCACACAACACTTTGGGGCGAAGTGTTGGTTTGTTGCTGCGAACATTTCCAAGTGTTTTTCCATGTGTTTACCTGTCTGTTGTGACCTTGTCTGTTCCTGATCTTCAGCCTGTTTATTGACCACGATTTTGCCTGATCTTCTCTGCTGTGTTTGCTGGTGTATGACCCTTGCCTGGTGACTACTCTGTTTAATAAAGACAAGCTGTACTTGGATCTGAATGACTCCTATGTTTCGTAACGGGTAGAGACTAGAGGAATTAAGACTAATAATAGAAGATAATAAGGCTTTGCCAGTGACACTTTTGATATATTTATTGATACAAGTGTGACTAAATTAAAAGACAAAGTCATTAGTGAAGATTATGCAACAGTATTTAGAATATAATATAGAATAGAACATGCAATGCAAACTAGTTTGGTTACTCAAATGTATCATTCTCATTCTATCATTCACCCTGCCTCCATTACATATCTTTGTCACACAAGTGTTTGATCACCACATTTGAGTGATCATTGCAAAACATGTGTTTATATATATATACACTCACCTAAAGGATTATTAAGAACACCATACTAATACTGTGTTTGACCCCCTTTCGCCTTCAGAACTGCCTTAATTCTACGTGGCATTGATTCAACAAGGTGCTGAAAGCATTCTTTAGAAATGTTGGCCCATATTGATAGGATAGCATCTTGCAGTTGATGGAGATTTGTGGGATGCACATCCAGGGCACGAAGCTCCCGTTCCACCACATCCCAAAGGTGCTCTATTGGGTTGAGATCTGGTGACTGTGGGGGCCATTTTAGTACTGTGAACTCATTGTCATGTTCAAGAAACCAATTTGAAATGATTCAAGCTTTGTGACATGGTGCATTATCCTGCTGGAAGTAGCCATCAGAGGATGGGTACATGGTGGCCATAAAGGGATGGACATGGTCAGAAACAATGCTCAGGTAGGCCATGGCATTTAAACGATGCCCAATTGGCACTAAGGGGCCTAAAGTGTGCCAAGAAAACATCCCCCACACCATTACACCACCACCACCAGCCTGCACAGTGGTAACAAGGCATGATGGATCCATGTTCTCATTCTGTTTACGCCAAATTCTGACTCTACCATCTGAATGTCTCAACAGAAATCGAGACTCATCAGACCAGGCAACATTTTTCCAGTCTTCAACTGTCCAATTTTGGTGAGCTCTTGCAAATTGTAGCCTCTTTTTCCTATTTGTAGTGGAGATGAGTGGTACCCGGTGGGGTCTTCTGCTGTTGTAGCCCATCCGCCTCAAGGTTGTGCGTGTTGTGGCTTCACAAATGCTTTGCTGCATAACTCGGTTGTAACGAGTGGTTATTTCAGTCAAAGTTGCTCTTCTATCAGCTTGAATCAGTCGGCCCATTCTCCTCTGACCTCTAGCATCAACAAGGCATTTTCGCCCACAGGACTGCCGCATACTGGATGTTTTTCCCTTTTCACACCATTCTTTGTAAACCCTAGAAATGGTTGTGCGTGAAAATCCCAGTAACTGAGCAGATTGTGAAATACTCAGACCGGCCCGTCTGGCACCAACAACCATGCCACGCTCAAAATTGCTTAAATCACCTTTCTTTCCCATTCTGACATTCAGTTTGGAGTTCAGGAGATTGTCTTGACCAGGACCACACCCCTAAATGCATTGAAGCAACTGCCATGTGATTGGTTGATTAGATAATTGCATTAATGAGAAATTGAACAGGTGTTCCTAATAATCCTTTAGGTGAGTGTGTATATATATATATTCTGTTTATGTATACTGTGTATTCTACCAGTCAAAAATGTGTACACATGAATGGGAAAGTGTGTCCAAACTTTTGACTGGTACTGTACTATAATATACACATATATAATAATGCCACTGTATTATAACATACACATAAAAAATAATCGGCCGATATATCGATATCTGGCTTTTTTTACTCCCTAATATCGGCATCGGCCCCCAAAAATCCCTATTGGTCGGACTCTAGTCATAATATATCTAATGATATGATTGTGTTGTTTAACTGGTGTAACGTCTCATGAGTGTTTGTTCAGGATCTCTTACATGAGATTGGCATCTTTGGATGAGAGGAATACCCATTCTTCTCCTTCTCTCCCTTCGCCCTCTTTCACCACTCGCTCTATCGCTCGTCCCACCAGCCCACTGCCACCCGTCACCAACACACGCATCGGCCCGTCCATCTGAAAGAGAGAGAGAGAGAGAGAGATAAGGATTGAAGAACACTTCAGGTGTTAACAAATGTGTAAAAACAGGAACTACTGTAAATAATAAAGTATTTGAAGAAAAATTCTAGCAAGACCACAACAAAACTCATGCAGTCTATTTGTTACACATCTATGTAGCCTTCTAAGTGTGTTCAGAGTTAATGACCAAGACAAAGACTACAAGTGATGGTTGACCATTAGTGGGGGGAACTAAAGTAGAAAAAGAGTAGAAACAACTACATCTCTAGTTGTAGAATTCCTGAGTGCAGTGACACACCTTTTATTAAATGAGTGCACTATTTGGATTCAGTGTCTTTTAGCTGGATTTTCTCAGCTAACTTGGAACATTCTCAGAACTTTGACTAACGTCAAAGTCCCTTTAACACAAGTCATTTCACTCGGCGGCCATCTTTGAAACGTCTCTCGGGCAGGAAAGTGCAGATCGGAAAACATCAAATTCTCCAAAACTGTTCGCCAAGCTTAGGATTAAATTTCATAGTTGAAATCACCAATAAAATCTGACAACAACTGTCATATTGAGCGTTGCACTTTTCCCCATTCAAAACAATTTGAGTGAGTGACGCGTCTTGTGTTATGGTGCATTCAAGTCATCTCGTATAGATCGTATTTACGAGTTGAACACACATGAACGCCACCACAATGTCGTAAATATGAGTGGGTAGCTCGGGATTTTCTTTAAGTCCCGATCTAACGAGTTGGGGGCGTGTCAGTGAGAAACATGGCGGAATACCACAATACCGAAAGGTATTTAGCTGTGATATTGTCAGGCTTTTCTATTTACAGCGCAGTAAGCTAATTGCCTGCACAGAATATGATAGCATTATAAAATAACAATGTAGGCCTAATATAACGATAAAGTTTGCAGTGGCTCAATAAATTAACTAAAAACATAAAAAAGCAAAGCACACCTTATGCAAATCTATGTTTCTTCATTTTCTAGAACTAGAGTTTACGAACCTTGCTGCATTTTTGTGTAATTAATTAAGAGAAAGTACAAAGTCACCTTACTCCGACGAAAGTGACTTGACCGCACTACCGTCGGAAACACGACTTCCCACCTCGTAAGTACGAACTTCCCAGGAGGACTTGAACGCACCATTATTCTTTAGTCTTTGCTAACATTCTGGCAAGGTTCTCTCAAAGTAATGAGCAAACGTTCTTTCATTAACATTAATGTTTGTTCAAAGTTATCTAGTCTTTAAAAATTTTCTCAAAACGTCAGCACAAAAACATTATCTTTTGTGGATGGAAGGTCTAGAAGTTGGACATTTGTCTAACATTTTTAAATGGAATGTTCTCCTAATGTTCACATAAATAGGAAAAAAAAGGTTCAAAACAATTTTAAAAATAGACGTTTTAAACATTCAGAGAACATAACTTTTCATAACTTAAAGGAAATTTTAACAAAACATTCTTAGAATGTTTGTTAGCTGGGTTGACACGTGAGTTCCTAAATGTGCATGAAAAAAAAAGGCACTTTCAATGCTTTCATTATCAAGTTATTAACTGTATTATTGAATCCTTAAATGTTTTTTCAAAAATCTTGTAACTTATGTCCAACGAAGATTAAGAAAAAATGTATGCATTTTATGCAAACTACTACTGATGTATATTATTTTGTCTCTGTGATTTTACATTTTAATTTAAAAAAAGTGTTATTCACATCATCAGATGACATTTATTAATAATATATTCATAACTTCAAAATTTTCATGTGTTAAATGTAAAACTTGGAAAGCCACCTTGACCAGAAAGACAATTTTCACTATTCGTTCGGTTCACATGACGTCACTGTACGCCATCTTGACGACCCAATAATGCCTGCAACATGTTGTGCAGTTGGCTGCAACAACAGCCGAAAGAGGAACGCCGAACTGGTATTTTATTCTATACCAAGAGAAAAGGATAGAAGAAATGTCTCATATTGTATGTCTCATCTTTCTGTGCGCACACACCCGACCCGAAGCGCCATAGAGCCCTATACAGCGCGCGAGTAATGAATTGAGCTCTGTTTCATGTCTGAATGGACAAATACACACAACAATATGTTTAAATGTCCGTTTTAGAGAGTATTCACGTAAAATATGTCGGTTATGTCTTAAACAGAGTTGTCATCCAGTCTCTTTGGTAGAGAGAGAGAGAGAGAGAGAGAGAGAGAGAGAGAGAGAGAGAGAGAGAGAGAGAGAGAGAGAGAGAGAGAGAGAGAGAGAGAGAGAGAGAGACGAGGGGAACAAAGCATGCAAATGGGAATTATCGCGGCCGGAAAAATTATCGAGCTCTTTTTTTTTTATCGTGCGATTAAATTGATTTATTGACTATCGCGACAGGCCTAATCCAGATTATTGACAGCTAGCCGCGAGCTGTGGCTAACAACTGGCAAGCTACCAGCTGAGCCACTTAACTAGCTAACAACTCGCTACCTAGTCAGAGCAAACTACCACCAAAATCATACATTTGAATTTTTTTAATGATACCAACATTTCCCATAATTAAATATAAATCATTGGTGGCCAGGTGCCGCACTTTTACGTCTTTTACCCATCCAGCAACAGCTGATACGCGTCTGTACTCTTGAAAGCCTTCAAGCGATCCATGGGGAGGGGTTATGCACAAGATATATATATATATATCTTGTGCATAACCCATATATATATATATATATATATATATATATATATATATATAACCATGGAAGGCAAATTGGGGCAAGTCTGGGGCAGATAATAAAGGACAAAAGGAAACTGGGGGTAACAAATAAGGATCGGAATTAAAATTGTATCTCTGTCTTTCTCTCTCATTCAAATGGGCAGTTTGGGCGGCCACCGGGCGAGATCGGTCGTCAATATGGCGGCGTTCTATTTCTAGTGACGTAGGTGGCATCTATGAATAGCTCCATGCTGGGGAGCAAATTCTTGCTGGTTTATGCTGGATCTGTCTATCTATCTAAACTGTATAGTTTCCTACAGTATGTTTATTAGTGATAGAGCGGATCTTCTTTATTATTGTATTCCCATGTCAAGAAACCATTCCCATATCATGGTGATCATTAAGTATTGTAGGGTACAATGGAGCAAAAGGTGCACCAGGGAAAAAAGGCACATTTGACTTTATTCTCTATTTGGGGTAAAAGCAAAAACGTACTTTTTCTTTCTGCAATCATAGACTATGGGAGCAGTGAGAAGCAAATGTTTTGCCTTTAACCCTTCCATGGGCCTCATCTGATACATTACATTTCATAATCCATCACAATAGATACATCTCGATACACATTTTGTTTTCAGAATTTGAACTGCTTCCCTCAGGTAGGCGAAATAGAGTGCCCAGATGGAGGACTGTCAAAGCTTCTAGATCTCTTGTTTCAAATGCAGTAATGAGTGAAAATACTTATCTGAAACAAAGATAAAGGTACCGTGAACTTTAATAGTAGCTAGAAGTATCGTAAATGCTCTGGGTTTGTGATGTGTTGTTTGTGATTTATTATAAAAATTGTATGTTTGTGAGGTTGAAGCTGCTAAAATTGCTCTGCAAAAGGGACAAATAAAGATTTTACTACTACTACTACTACTACTAAAAGCACAACAGTATTTTTGTAAGGGTTAAATGATCTTAGTAAAAGCACCTCTTTTTTTCTCTCGACAGCTCACAATGAACTACTAGACCACTGAAACAGGTAAGACAAGTTTATCCACCGACACTCTGGCACAGGCGGTTGTAAAATAAGTTGAAACAGGATCTAATCGCACCAGTTTTCAGGCTTTGGTAAACAAAACTCAGGATACTGAACCAAACACGCACACACACACGCAACCATAATAGACAACCGAACTGAACCAAAAACACAGAGCAAAGGAGCTAAATGGGATTAATCAATGAACATACACTGTGAAACTACATCAAACAAAGGCAAACAGAAACTGATCACAGTCAAAACTATTTAAAAAAAGACATGTGACACACTGCTAGTAAAGTTAACCCATTACTGTTGAGGTATCAATATGACCCCAAAACACAATAATATACAGACAAAAAATACACATATTAAGTGCCTTACAATCATTTTCATCAATGAAAGTCAGTACATAAAATTATAATACGTTTAACATTCAATGAATTTTATAAAATTCATTTGAGCTTAAAATTTTTTACAGCTTTAAACAACTGCTAACCGAACAAACCATCACATCTGATGAATCGTGTATTAGATTGTGTATTAATTCTCTTAATAACTAATAAATTACCTGCTCTCTGGCTGTCGCTCTGTGAGTTCTGAGGAAATGGTAAAAAAAACGTATCCAGCTTATTGGTTTATGTACTTACACACACCTATCAGGGGCGGAGCCAGACATCGTAAACCCAAATGTAGTTTGTCCATGGGCTGATTTAAAGGAACCCCCACCCCGTAAGAAAATGTTGTAAATTTTTACGATTAAATGCATCAATCTGGTGCACTTTGAGACTCTTCAAAATTAAGCATCTACATCTAACAACGACTGACAAAGTAACAAGAGAAACACTAGGGCTTATATACACACACCAGAGATAGAATGTTAACAAGATAACAAAGGGGATAATAGGAAACACCTGGGGAAAACTAATCAACAAGAAAAACTACAAAGGACTACAAAACAGGAAATAAAAAGTCCGAACAAGACAGAAATCATGACAGAGCCCCCCCGGTGGAGGAGCAGGTAGACCGGGTGGCCAGGGCGGAGCAGTCCGTGCGGGTGGCCAGGGCGGAGCAGTCCGTGCGGATGGCCAGGGCGGAGCAGGTGTTGCGGGGGGCCAGGGCGGAGCAGGTGTAGCGGGGGGCCAGGGCGGAGCAGGTGTAGCGGGGGGCCAGGGCGGAGCAGGTGTAGCGGGGGGCCAGGGCGGAGCAGGTGTAGCGGGGGGCCAGGGCGGAGCAGGTGTTGCGGGGGGCCAGGGCGGAGCAGGTGTTGCGGGGGGCCAGGGCGGAGCAGGTGTTGCGGGGGGCCAGGGTGGAGCAGGTGTAGCTGGGGGCCAGGGCGGAGCAGTCCGTGCGGATGGCCAGGGCGGAGCAAGTGTTGCGGGGGGCCAGGGCGGAGCAGGTGTAGCGGGGGGCCAGGGCGGAGCAGGTGTAGCGGGGGGCCAGGGCGGAGCAGGTGTAGCGGGGGGCCAGGGCGGAGCAGGTAGAGCGGGTGGCCAGGGCAGAGCAGGTAGAACGGCTGGCCAGGGCAGAGCAGTCCGTGCGGGTGGCCAGGACACAGCAGGTAGAGTGGGTGGCCAGGACACAGCAGGTAGAGTGGGTGGCCAGGGCAGAGCAGGTAGAACGGCTGGCTAGGGCGAGCAGTCCGTGCGGGTGGCCAGGGCGGAGCAGGTAGAGCGGGGGGGCCAGAGCGTAACAGGTAGAGCGGGTGGCCCGGGCGGAGCAGGTAGAGCGGGTGGCCCGGGCGGAGCAGGTAGAGCGGGTGGCCCGGGCGGAGCAGGTAGAGTGGGCGGAGCAGGTAGAGCGGGGGGGGGGGGGCAGGGCAGAGAAGGTAGGGCGGGGGGGGCTAGGGCGAAGTAGATAGAGCGGGGGGGCCAGGGCGGAGCAGGTAGAGCGGGGGGGCCAGGGTGTTGCGGGGGGCCAGGGTGTTGCGGGGGACCAGGGCGGAGCAGGTGTAGCGGGGGGCCAGGGTGGAGCAGGTGTTGCGGGGGGCCAGGGTGGAGCAGGTGTAGCGGGGGGCCAGGGCGGAGCAGGTTGAGCGGGTGGCCAGGGCAGAGCAGGTAGAACGGCTGGTTAGGGCGAGCAGTCCGTGCGGGTGGCCAGGGCGGAGAAGGTAGAGCGGGATGCCAGGGCGGAGCAGGTAGAGCAGGGGGGCCAGAGCGGAGCAGGTAGAGCGGGGGGCCCAGGGCGGAGCAGGTAGAGCGGGGGCGGGGGGGCAGGGCGGAGCAGGTAGAGTGGGGGGGGGGGGGCAGGGCGGAGCAGGTAGAGCGGGGGGGGCCTGGGTGAAGCATGTAGAGAGGGGGGCAGGGCGGAGCAGGTAGAGCGGGGGGGGCAGGGCGGAGCAGGTAGAGCGGGTTGGCCTGGGCGGAGCGGGTTGGCCTGGGCGGAGCGGGTTGGCCTGGGCGGCGCAGATAGAGGGCGGTGCCCTGGGCGAAGCAGGTAGAGCGGGCGGCCAGTGCGGAGCAGTCCGTGCGGCTGGCCAGTGCGGAGCAGGTAGAGCGAAGGGTCAGGGCGGAGCAGGTAGAGCAGGGGGGCCAGAGCGGAGCAGGTAGAGCGGGGGGGCCAGGGCGGAGCAGGTAGAGCGGGGGGGCCAGAGCGGAGCAGGTAGAGTGGGGGGGCCAGGGCGGAGCAGGTAGAGTGGGGGGGCCAGGGCGGAGCAGGTAGAGTGGGTGGGCCAGGGCGGAGCAGGTAGAGCGGGTGGCCCGGGCGGAGCAGGTAGAGCGGGTGGCCCGGGCGGAGCAGGTAGAGCGGGCGGAGAAGGTAGAGCGGGCGGAGCAGGTAGAGCGGGGGGGGGGCCAGGGCAGAGGAGGTAGAGCGGGGGGGGGGGGGGGCAGATCAGCTAGGGCGGGGGGGCTAGGGCGAAGTAGATAGAGCGGGGGGGCCAGGGCGGAGCAGGTAGAGCGGGGGGGGGCAGGGCGGAGCAGGTAGAGCGGGGTGGCCTGGGCGGAGCAGGTAGAACGGGGTGCCCTGGGCGAAGCATGTAGAGCGGGGGGGCCAGGGCGGAGCAGGTAGAACGAGGGGGGGCCAGGGCTGTGCAGGTAGAACGAGGGGGGGCCAGGGCAGAGCAGGTAGGCCTGGGCGGAGCGGGTTGGCCTGGGCGGAGCAGATAGAGCGGGGTGCCCTGGGCGAAGCAGGTAGAGCGGGCGGCCAGTGCGGAGCAGTCCGTGCGGCTGGCCAGTGCGGAGCAGGTAGAGCGAAGGGTCAGGGCGGAGCAGGTAGAGCAGGGGGGCCAGAGCGGAGCAGGTAGAGCGGGGGGGCCAGGGCGGAGCAGGTAGAGCGGGGGGGCCAGAGCGGAGCAGGTAGAGTGGGGGGGCCAGGGCGGAGCAGGTAGAGTGGGGGGGCCAGGGCGGAGCAGGTAGAGTGGGGGGGCCAGGGCGGAGCAGGTAGAGCGGGTGGCCCGGGCGGAGCAGGTAGAGCGGGTGGCCCGGGCGGAGCAGGTAGAGCGGGCGGAGAAGGTAGGGCGGGGGGGCTAGGGCGAAGTAGATAGAGCGGGGGGGCCAGGGCGGAGCAGGTAGAGCGGGGGGGGCCAGGGTGTTGCGGGGGGCCAGGGTGTTGCGGGGGACCAGGGCGGAGCAGGTGTAGCGGGGGGCCAGGGTGGAGCAGGTGTTGCGGGGGGCCAGGGTGGAGCAGGTGTAGCGGGGGGCCAGGGCGGAGCAGGTTGAGCGGGTGGCCAGGGCAGAGCAGGTAGAACGGCTGGTTAGGGCGAGCAGTCCGTGCGGGTGGCCAGGGCGGAGAAGGTAGAGCGGGATGCCAGGGCGGAGCAGGTAGAGCAGGGGGGCCAGAGCGGAGCAGGTAGAGCGGGGGGCCCAGGGCGGAGCAGGTAGAGCGGGGGCGGGGGGGCAGGGCGGAGCAGGTAGAGTGGGGGGGGGGGCAGGGCGGAGCAGGTAGAGCGGGGGGGGCCTGGGTGAAGCAGGTAGAGAGGGGGGCAGGGCGGAGCAGGTAGAGCGGGGGGGGCAGGGCGGAGCAGGTAGAGCGGGTTGGCCTGGGCGGAGCGGGTTGGCCTGGGCGGAGCGGGTTGGCCTGGGCGGCGCAGATAGAGGGCGGTGCCCTGGGCGAAGCAGGTAGAGCGGGCGGCCAGTGCGGAGCAGTCCGTGCGGCTGGCCAGTGCGGAGCAGGTAGAGCGAAGGGTCAGGGCGGAGCAGGTAGAGCAGGGGGGCCAGAGCGGAGCAGGTAGAGCGGGGGGGCCAGGGCGGAGCAGGTAGAGCGGGGGGGCCAGAGCGGAGCAGGTAGAGTGGGGGGGCCAGGGCGGAGCAGGTAGAGTGGGGGGGCCAGGGCGGAGCAGGTAGAGTGGGGGGGCCAGGGCGGAGCAGGTAGAGCGGGTGGCCCGGGCGGAGCAGGTAGAGCGGGTGGCCCGGGCGGAGCAGGTAGAGCGGGCGGAGAAGGTAGAGCGGGCGGAGCAGGTAGAGCGGGGGGGGGCCAGGGCAGAGGAGGTAGAGTGGGGGGGCCAGGGCGGAGCAGGTAGAGTGGGGGGGCCAGGGCGGAGCAGGTAGAGTGGGGGGGCCAGGGCGGAGCAGGTAGAGCGGGTGGCCCGGGCGGAGCAGGTAGAGCGGGTGGCCCGGGCGGAGCAGGTAGAGCGGGCGGAGAAGGTAGGGCGGGGGGGCTAGGGCGAAGTAGATAGAGCGGGGGGGCCAGGGCGGAGCAGGTAGAGCGGGGGGGCCAGGGTGTTGCGGGGGGCCAGGGTGTTGCGGGGGACCAGGGCGGAGCAGGTGTAGCGGGGGGCCAGGGTGGAGCAGGTGTTGCGGGGGGCCAGGGTGGAGCAGGTGTAGCGGGGGGCCAGGGCGGAGCAGGTTGAGCGGGTGGCCAGGGCAGAGCAGGTAGAACGGCTGGTTAGGGCGAGCAGTCCGTGCGGGTGGCCAGGGCGGAGAAGGTAGAGCGGGATGCCAGGGCGGAGCAGGTAGAGCAGGGGGGCCAGAGCGGAGCAGGTAGAGCGGGGGGCCCAGGGCGGAGCAGGTAGAGCGGGGGCGGGGGGGCAGGGCGGAGCAGGTAGAGTGGGGGGGGGGGGCGGGGCGGAGCAGGTAGAGCGGGGGGGGCCTGGGTGAAGCAGGTAGAGAGGGGGGCAGGGCGGAGCAGGTAGAGCGGGGGGGGCAGGGCGGAGCAGGTAGAGCGGGTTGGCCTGGGCGGAGCGGGTTGGCCTGGGCGGCGCAGATAGAGGGCGGTGCCCTGGGCGAAGCAGGTAGAGCGGGCGGCCAGTGCGGAGCAGTCCGTGCGGCTGGCCAGTGCGGAGCAGGTAGAGCGAAGGGTCAGGGCGGAGCAGGTAGAGCGGGGGGGCCAGAGCGGAGCAGGTAGAGCGGGGGGGCCAGGGCGGAGCAGGTAGAGCGGGGGGACCAGAGCGGAGCAGGTAGAGTGGGGGGGCCAGGGCGGAGCAGGTAGAGTGGGGGGGCCAGGGCGGAGCAGGTAGAGTGGGGGGGCCAGGGCGGAGCAGGTAGAGCGGGTGGCCCGGGCGGAGCAGGTAGAGCGGGCGGAGAAGGTAGAGCGGGCGGAGCAGGTAGAGCGGGGGGGGGGCCAGGGCAGAGGAGGTAGAGCGGGGGGGGGGGGGGGGCAGATCAGCTAGGGCGGGGCGGGGGGGGGTGGGAGGCAGATCAGCTAGGGCGGG